GTTCGTGCTTTGTTCTGCACAATCTAATCGTTGAAATCAAAGAAAAAACACACCATGAAGACACGAACGTCTGTTTCTATCAGCAAACTCGGAGGTTGAGGCAGGCTGATGGTGACGCAGGAGAGGATGATCAGCAAGGGGGTGGTGCAGTAGGTGATCAGACTTACATTGGAACTGCAGGGCAGGATTTTCGCAACGTGTTAAAGGTGCGGTTGCTTTCCTCATTGGAGCGAATCGCAACACATTAAAGATGTGTTTGTCAAGTAGAAGTTCTTCGTCCTCTTTAGTACCCAACGAGGGAAATTTGCGCTTGAGCTCAAAGCGCTTATCCCAAACCTGTAGTGTTTGCTGTGTGTAGTCACGCTTGAGATCGAGTACAAAATGGCATGCATTTCCGAGTCCTAAAAACGAGTCGCATGATGACACAGTACAGACCTACTTCAGTTTTGATCAGAACCACGCTCCATAGCAATACGACGAATCCGAGCCTCCTCCTCTTCTCGACGTGCACGAGATAGCTCAAGCTCGAGTCTTGCAAACTCGATTTGTTGAGTCATCCTCTCCTGCTGGTGGAGATGGTCTTGTTCCGCAAGATGCATCACATGCTCCCACTCATCACGAGCACTGTGGGCCTTGAGATCACGAGCCCAAATGTCGCCCTGAAGTTTCATACGTTTGTAGCTTTCGTGCTCGACACAACCCTCACGTTTGCTCTCAAGGTGCTTCATTAGAGAGTCTGCCGTTTGGGACATTTTTTCTGCAGCAGCAGAGGTCTGGTCAAGAGCACTGCCGCCAGGGCGTTTGCGTGATGAAGAGGGGGGACAACTAAACTGAGGTGATGCACTTCGAGTAGGTGGACAAGACTGTTTTGTAGCAAGAGAAGGTGAACTTTCACGACTTCCCTTAAGCGGGCTGACACGGAGAGACCACAGTGCTCGGCTGGCACCAATATCCGAGTCTTCTGAGTCGATAGGCGTAGACTGATAGCTAGGTGAAGATTCCCTAAAATCAGAAAAAACAGACAATGGATTATCGGGGGCACTGCGATTGGGTACTGGCGAGCGCTCAGGAGAGTTCAACGATACCACTCCAAGTGCGTCAGAAGTTGAGATGGGAGGGAGCTGAGATCGTTGGAACCAGTGTGGCAATGGAGGCAGTGAGAATGAGTCAGGTGTGTTGCTAGGACCACGGTCCAAAGGTACAAGTGATGATGATGCTGATGATTGTGATTCTATGTGGGGGGGCTGGTCGACTATCATTTCATCTGCCACATCGACAATGGCACCATCGTCCACACTGCGAGTATCGACCTCGACTATGTCTCTATCATCATCTGTGCAAGCATCGTCGTCAACTGTAGCCGGTGGTTGTGGGTGCTTGGAAATATTGAAATGTTCCAATGCAGCAGACGCAAAATCTTGCCCTGCGTCCGCAGTAGAGAAGGCATGATTGAAGGCTGGATTTGTCCGCCACCAGCCATGAAGCTCAGGCCACCAGGGAAATTTTTCGAGCTTTGTATCTGACGGAGACATGGTTCAGACAGGCGCAGATCAACAGCAGCTGAAACTTACTGATCAAAGACTTGATCTTTGGATCTTCTTGCAGCTCCGCATATGTCTTTCCTGCTCCCGACTGTTTGAGGTCCTTGTTAAATTCGTTGTATTTTTTCCTCAGTCTGAGACATCTGATCAGTGATTCCAGTGGGAAGATGGATGACGCAGGAACTAGATACTTACGTGCCGAAACAGGTTGAAACTGGTTTTATGAATGCCTTGGGGTCCTCCTTGAAGAGTCGTTGAACCTCCAGATCCTCGTCGTTCGAAAATACAGCTTGTGCAACCTGTGAATACACAACATCTCTCGAAGTACCACTCTGCTTCTTCTTCCGACCTTGCTCCTTGGCATCCTTTACAGAATCAGAGAAAAGCTTGATGTGTGCGTCTTCATTTTCCTTGCACCAGGCAAGTAGGCGTTCAGTACGAGCACTACGGACCCCCTCCCAATGGATAGTACACTTCTTTGAGGTGTCCGTACCAGCAGATGTATTGGTTCGACCTCTTTGATTGGATCGTGACATGATCCAGGATATTCCTACTGACAGCGATTAAGAATCAGATTAAAGCTTTAGCAGCGTCGACACCAGCAGCAATGATGTTGAGCACACTGGCAGGGCAGGTCGGAGTTCAAAACCTGCCGTATCGGCAGCATCCGAATTCACCATGATTTTTTTCAAGGTTCGACTTTGAGAACCGCTATTGTGCCCAGTATCATCCAGTGCGTCTTTGGCAGCCTCCTACCTCAAAACGGTCAGTTCTTCTTTGGACTATGGGCATAACCAGCAGTGCTTTTGGTGCCTTCACTGAACATAGCCGACGACCAACGTACTTCAGTAAACAAGTCTCTGTGCGCCTGCGACCACGGCGAAATTGGCCCTGCCCGGTGTCACGGCCACCTATCTTATCACCACTCTATTTCCTCGCTCCCCGACTGTCTATTCGGTGCATCTGATTCACGATTCACTGTTACAAACTGTTTGTTTGCAAAGTACCGCGACCATCTTGTACTTATAACAACAACACATCCCACAACCATCAAGGCACTTCCAAACTTCGACCCTCGTTTCCATTTCTCCGCTGATACTCAAGCCTTAATTTGTCGCCGTAATTCGGTGTTGCCACAGGTAACTATATCATAACTTTCATGTATTTACTATCATTCCCTGTAATGTGTAACATTTTCATAAAATCTTTTCTAGCCCCTCGACCACATCACTTTTTCTTTCGAAAATTTTACCTATCATAGATTTATATCTCTTCTACATGGATCTGATTTTTACTGATTTTTAGAATAATGTAGTGCAATGTTGGAGCAAGTCCGAGAAAACTCAGGGTCACCCTCCAATCTGCACAATTTTGGTCACAGCCTGTCACGCCTCGGCATAGTAGCGGCACAATCAACTTTCACTCTCAGAAGTCTTCCATGTGTCGGATTGCATTGGAAAGGCTCGAAAACGCAGATACTATTATTGACTGAGAGTATCTATTAAATACTAACAATACTAATTACTCTGAATGTAGTATTGGTGCCCTCCTGCATACACATCCTCAGTCCACACCATGCTGCCAACTCGAAAATCTGTATTGCCGTGACTCGCTGGTGCAAAATAAGGGTGCCGAGTATGTGGAGATTCGAGAGTGAGGCTGAAGTGCAGGAATGTGTTGCCTTCCTGCGGCGTGAGAGAATGATACAACCAGAAGGTAGATGCCGTGTGTGCCGAGGAGGAGATTGAATTATTTGTGCACCCCCCCTGTCTGGTGTCACGTTTTCAGACTTGTCGTTGATTACACCACTGTAGCACCTCAGTGCGGGAGAGTAACTATTATCGAATTGGTTTTATGACATCCCAAGAAGGTGCCCTTTGTGTCCCAGGTAAATTTTTATGAGTACCTGTGCAGGATCTTTGGGATCTGGGTGATTTGTGTTGGACAAAGGTTGCAAATTGCCACAATTTCGTCTCTTGCAACTGCAACATTCAAGAATATTTTATTCTACTTGTGTGAAACATCATTTATAGGTATTCTGCATATGCCTGAATTTTTTCGAAGCCAGTTGAGCATGATGTTGAATTGTTATAACATTTTGCAAATTAGGAACCATGGACATATTACAGGGAATGATAGTAACACTGGATGGCACTGATCTGTGCCAACACAGGATGGAGCTACATGGGAACGACGGGTCTCACACTTACAAGATAGAAGTTTACTGAAACACGATGCCATCGAGATGAGCCTGTACAATCAGAAATCAGGTTTCTGGTGCATGGCTGGTGTATTGTCTCCCTTGTGAAAATTCCAACATATATCAATCACGAATCAAAATGTATCTGGCAGTACAATATATCACCATGACATCAAGTGCATGATGCATTGAACATAGTGAGCTTTACATCGGATTTGCTGTATGCTTACCATCTCTCTGTTCATCATTCTGATATGATCATGATAGCCCAATGATTCGAGCGTACCAGGCGACAGATGAGGTGAGATATATTTGGCCCACTCTGTCACGGTTTATTGTCTGAGTTCCGCAGAGTGACCCTTGTTCCATAAGAGTAATTAAAGGGCTGTTGAGCCTCGGGCTCAGCCAGCGATGCCGAAGAGTGTGTAAATACTCGTTTCTCATTTCTCGCATATCACACTTCGACCTGTGTTAGATCGATGACTACATGATTTCATAGGAAACTCTTCAATTTTTGCAATCTCAAAGCAAACACGTGCAAAAAATCGTGTTGGAAATAAGTTGTTGACATCACGAACGACTGGAACTTTCCTGGTGTTGAAGTATTCCCGTGCGTAATAGTGATTTGGAAATCAAAATCTACTTTGATTACCGGCTTTTTGTTTGATTTCACACCCTTTCACCTGATCAAGGGTCTTGAGGTGAAATCAAATTTCCATCTCCATCACGCTGATTGTGGCGATACAAGGGCTGAACGCTGGTATATCTAGCACGAATGCTATCGTTATACACCACTGACATCCCCCACTCACTCACTCATCCCTCGAACATGACTTACGTCTCAAATGATCCCAGTTGGTGGCCATATATCAGTTCAAATATTTCTGTTGCCTATTGGACAAGTTCGTCGTATTAGGATGTCCAGACATCAGCAAAAACATTGCTGGCTATATAGTACTATATAGTTGGGATAGACTGTGTAGCTCTGTTGTTACCTGCCCTGTATATAGAACATGAGGTAACTATATTGTGCTATATAGCGCTATGTAGAATCAGGTAGCCCTAACAAGCGCTACAGTAGTAGCCTGTATTTCGTAGGACTACCTACTACAGGGAACTACCAGCAGCTACATAGAGGAATAGAGTAGCACACAAAATAGCACGAAAAAAAATTGAATTCAGATACATAACACAGCGCTATCGACAGATTCTACTAATGCCTTGCACGATCCTCTGCGCCCTCTTCACATCTATGAGCCTCAACTCCTGTTAGCCTCTGCACCCTCCTCCTCAAGTTGGTACTCGTGAATCGCATCATCAAAAGCCTTGTCACCAATCCGGGATGCAGCCGACAGCAGAGTGAGGGCTTCGACACCTGCATGCGAACTTAAAAGCACAGATGTTAGGTTGGCACTTGCGAAAATATAGTGCGACATACCGAACCCTGTGATGCTACCGTCTTGCAGTAGCTCGGATTTATAGAGCCCTGTCAATGTCCAGTCCTATTATCCAACAGTCAGGACTCAAAAGCTCATGCAGGCCACTGTGCTACGTACCTTGAAGGCAAATGCTGAACCATTTTTCAAAGATTCTGCCAGGTCTTGGTTTTGCCCTATCACATCCCTCGAAAGACTTGGCTGGAACCCAAAAAATGAGCTCGTAAGTGAGCGCATCTTCATTTTGAGTTCACCGCGCACATGTGATGTGCGCCGCAAGAGCTTCATAATATATAAATTAATCAGACCAGTCATGTACTAAGAACGGAGGACTTACGATTTTGACCACTGGAAGTGTTAATTTGACGTTGGCACCTTTGATTTCGCATGCATCGCGCCAGGCCTCTTTCGCTAACCTCGTCTTTCGGGACCAGATACTAGCTTGCGAAATTCCGCAGGCGTCGGTCGTGGTATGGTGCGATGGCCGTCACTGGCAGCTGATTCATTACCCTGATGTTGCATCCTGTATTAGTGAAATGTTACCTTCACTTTTGCACTTTATGAGGGCGTGTCTGGTAGTACTCACCAGCGATGTTACCATTTCGTGAGGGTGTGTCTGGTAGTAACCAGTTTCAGTGTCGGGACCTGAAAAAATGTCAAGCAGATGCTACATAGAGGACAAGCAAAATGCAAGTAAGTCATGTCAATATTAATAGTGGTTGCAAGAAGCAAGCGAAACATGTTGAAAATTGAACGTCGAAAAGTTCAACCATGGGAACCGATGGCATGCGTCTTGATTAGTAATCATTGGACTTTGAAGTTTTTGAATTCTCATAATGCGGTGGACACTGGACACTGGATGTGGAGTCGACTTATGGCCTGGCGCGCATTCCTACTGTCAACAGTTGGGACCATGATTAGCTTGTGTTTGTGTGACTCAAAAAGCGACCGTAGCGCATTGTTTGAAATATAGTGGTTCAGCAACCGTTGGGCATGGATGGTGCGTTTGCATTTGTGTGAACACGGCCGTTAATCTGACTTGATTCCAAAAGGATACTGTGCTGCGCAAGTTTGTGTCGTCTTCACGCTGACAAGTCAAGCTATGAATGTGTTATTCCCTGCTGGACCTGCTAAACCACCCGCCCACCTTGCTTATGTGGAATGGTTTACATCTTTCCAGCAACCCATGGCATGATGAGCTGTACAAAATTTGCCGTTTGATGCGTCATGGAGAGCGTCTCGGACATCCGCAGGGGCGTTCATCTTTTTCCAAATTTCGGCGCAGTAAGCACCTTGTGAATGGACGGGTAGTACCGTTCTGGAGCTCTGTTCCAGCTTCTTTGTAAACTTGTTCAGTGAGCGACACGCTTATTTAACTATTGTCTGATGAGTATAAGCAATTTTGAGAATTTTCGTAAGGAGGTTTTCCCTGATGACTACTACAAGCTATATAGTACTATGTAATACAAGTGTGCGCTACAGGATCAAGTATTTACTAGTTCGACTCGAAGCACCTCCTGTAGCTTTATATAGCCTGACTGTCAGCTACATAGCTGATGTAGAACTATATAGTGGCCTGCTTGCCTACATTTTACTACAGCGGCTATATAGCACTATGTAGCTGTCACCAGGGCTCCCAAGATTTCGAGTTTTTCCTGATGCCCCCATGCCTTGCAACAGTTCATCAAAGTTTTCCGCTGACCAGTGGCGCGGCTCTTTAGCGCATCGTGGGTATTGCAATACACTTCATGTGCACCAATGTCAATGGTGGTGTGCCGCTTCAAAATGGAGTAAATGGCATTATTCATGAAAATAACTTCAATTGTGAAAGATCTTGAGCAACCGCCAGTGGCCACGACACTCCGAATCTTGACAGTCACTCTGTGAGGAGTACCAAGTGTCCCACTCCCCGGGCCAGCATACCACCCAAACCGTGCATCGTTCAATATTCAGGATCCTTGCGATCTGCCGAGTCCAGACAGGTGATATCAGGAAGCCCATAAAGTCTTCTCTTTTCTACACATCATCTAGTATGTGGTACAAAGCACGCGATATATAGATGAGTTGTCATATGGATGTTACAACTAATAGAGGGAAACGAGTTAGCAGATGTAGAAGCAAAGAGAGCAGCAGGAGGACGCTCAAGTACCCCACCCCTCCTACCTAATTGCCTTCGGAAACACAGGCGGAACAGACCCACCGCTATCGCAACGCTCCCGCACAGCAAATCGGCGCTCAAGCAACAGCGCTATGACCAGCTGAAGGCAGAAGGAAAGACCATAATGCGCGAATCCCCACGCTACCCACTGCTCAAGAAAATAGACGACAGCGTCCCCTCGAATCGTTTCCAAAAGCTAATCGCAGACCTCCCCCGCAGACAAGCCAGCCTCCTCATGCAGTTGAGAACGGGTCACGCCCCACTCAACAAACATCTCCATCGCATAAAGAGCGCTGACACGCCACTCTGCCCAGCCTGCAAAGCGCGCGAAGAAACCGTACATCACTTCCTAATGGCGTGCCCTACATATCGCACTCAGAGAGACGCCTTGCGCAGAACTATCCCTAACCGCGCTTACCATATCCGCAGCCTCCTCAGTAACCCTGAGCACACTCCAAAATTGTTCAAGTACATCGCCGCCACGAAACGCCTAGAACGAGATTTCGGGAACATAGCAGGAAAAGACTGAAAAGGAACTGAGCCCTCTCGTTCCACGCGCATGCTCAGACTCAACCCCTCCGTGCATACCCGCAAAGAAGCGTACCTGCGATAACCTAGTGCATACGCGCATACACCCCCCCTCCCGTTAGCCTTAGGTTGGCTTCCGATGCTCTACCACTCCAAACTCAAGTACGGAGTGCGAGCCAATGGTCCTCAATTATTCCAACACCAGTTATACAAATAGAACATAGTAGTATATAGCATGTACTGTCTACATCGGGCTTCGCCCTAAGCAGACACAAAACAGGATTAAAAAAAAAAAAAATGTTACAACTAGCGCGTCGATAAGATAGATCAACAACGATTGTCTGCAAAATTCAATGATATCAAGTGTGATCAGTGTTAGAAAAGAAACTGACGGTTCGAGTATATCACGAATGCGTGTGGCAAGAAATCAGGGCTTCAAGTCAGAAGGCACCAAGCGCACCTACATTTAAAAGTATTAGTGAGACGCCGACCATGAAATTTAGGGACTCTGGCAAACATACTTTGATCAGAGTAGCGTCACCCTGCAAATCTAAATCATGCGTCAAGATGTATATTAGGGTCCTTGCAACGATCTGTTTCTATCCTGCCGAGTAGTACAACTGCAAGAGTAAAACAACGAATGAGACGCATATGTGAATACAACACACCGTTGATATTACAGCAGTTTCCATAAGTAATGGCGCAGCCCTGTGCGAATCACAGTCGCCCTGGTGCGAATGGATGGTTATTTGAAAGTATACAGCTCGCGCAGGTAGTACATGAGCGGAGTGTCTGGATCTGAGCCAGACAGCTAATAGACTAGAAATCTACACGTGCGAAAATTAGCGTATGTCAGCTGTTTGAACACAAAGACTGAAACCAGAAGATGTGCGCACGATCTATGGAAGCTTGAATAGCTTGTGACACAATGGGTCTATCGCATGTACCATCATCCATCTAGGCCATTTGGGTGGGGCACGATGCGACCATTCCATGGACCAAGGAAAGTAGAAGTAGCGTGTCGAGTTCAGACAGCTGATAATCCGAGAATTCAACATATTCATGAATGCCCTGACTATCTGAGCACGAAAAACGAAACAAAACAACCAGGAACTGGCAATGATCGCAGAATCGTGTGTTGAACATGTACTACGACCTGTCGAAATCTTGTTAGTAACATGTCTGTCAGTGTAAATTGTCGAACGAGATTATGATATACGTACACAAGACGATTCAGAGCGGCATTGGAGTGGCGTATTGAAGGCCAGGCAGCTGAAAAAGGCGATACTTCAAGGGTGAACGTAAACGAAAGCAACTATAATATCATATCTGAGCAAAAAGAATGATCGGATTCATGAAAGCCAGATGGCCGATAACACCATGGGATTGAAGATGTTATCATAGCATGGCGTCATCAGTCACCTGAACAAACAAACAGAGAGTGAAGGACCTGGAAAGGAAAAGGAAAAGTAGCGCGTCTGTGATCAGGTGATTAACAGGGAAAAAAACTCACTACGAATTGTGCGAGCACAAAGAAAGATGGGAAAGGGTGACCTCCAGTAAGCGGTAGTAGAATGTGTCCGGAGGATCTGTTAACACTTTAGTTTCATATATATACTTAAGTACTATGTAGACAGACCAAATACGCCTTCTAGTTTCGATGGCATAGTGCCTGTCCGTTGAGCTTCACGCGCAGGTCGATCCTTGTCTTCCATGACCGATGCGAGCGAGGTAACAAGAGAAATTGGCATAGGTGTGAGTTCCGGAACGGCATTGCTTGCAGAGCTGTAGTGAGGCTGGTTCATTTTTCGACTCCGCAAACGCCGAAGGTAGCGCCGCGGACTCTGATTAAAATTTTCCGACACAAGATATATCTGACATCAAGTGCACGATCCAAGGCACCAAATATAGCTAGTGCGTTGCTATTTTTCTTGTCTGACTTCATGCTATGCTGGCCACAGAATGTGACATTGGTACGAAAAACAGTCGGGGGAGCTGATAGCAAGCCTCGAGCTTGGCCAGCTACTAGGCCGAGAGCAGATGCTGGCTGTGATCACATCATGCTTAGACCTGTGACGTTAGATCGATAACTATGTGGTTCCCTACGGGACACCTCAACAATGGCGTTGGAACAAGTTGCTAACATCACCAACAACTAGAACATTTCCGGCGTCCGAGCATTGGCCTGCATACTAATGCTGGTTTGCAAATCAATTTCTACTTTGATTCTCGAGGGCTTCCACTTTTTGCTTGACTTCGTACCACAATGCTTACTTCACCTGTGATATAGGCTTCTTGTCCCTCATGTGCAATTTCCTTTTCGACCTCGGGATGGTATCCTAGAAACATTCAACAGATATCAATCACGAATCAGGATACATCTGGCAGTGCGATGTACCACCATCACATCAAGTGCACGATGTATCGGATACACTCCATGCTTACCATCTCTCTCTTCATCAGTTTGATACAATCATGATAGCTCAATAATTCAAGCGTACGAGGCGACGGATAAGGTGAGATACATTTGCTCCACTTCGACCTATTCTGTCCTGGTTTCTTGTCTGAGTTCTCTGGTGCAATAACCCTTGTTCCATAAGAGTGATCGGAGGATTTTTACACCTCCAGTGGAGCCAAAGAGACTGTATATGCTTGTTACGATCACATTCGCACTGCAATACTTCACCTGATCTTGGCTATACGAGCGCTCAATGGTGGTATATCTAGCATGAATGCTATCGCTACACACCACTAACATTCTTCACTCGCTCACACCCATCCCTCGAATATGACCGTAGTTTCAAACGATCCCAATTGGTGGCCGACAATCAATTCAACTATTTTTTATAGTTATTGGATAGGTTTGTCGCATCAAGATGTCTGGATCTAATATTGACTTGTGGTTTCGCAGTTGCTGCTGGCGTCGTGGTGGTATACGATTGGGGTGAGCAGGACAGTGTTCGAAAATGACTAATGTTCTGACATGATATTTCCAGCACTCACACTAGGACAAGAGGTATGTTGATGTTATTGCCGGAGCAGCCAACTTGCTAAGAACGCTGTCACAGATTGAATTGATCTGGGTGAGTGACAGCGTGCCATGTCAGAAGAAAAGCAGCAAAATACAGTGAATTCGCGACAGAGGCAACGTTGGTCACTCATGACTTTGCTGTATTTGGTTGTTCGTATCTCATGTTATAGCGTGGTTGGCAGGTTACACTAACTCCAAAATGTTTTAGATACGTTATATTGGAATACCATATTCTGTGTATGTGTCGAGGTCAATAACTTGGCGCCGTGCTAATAGTTCATCTCTGACGATTAGTAACAATGTCCTGGGTATGTCTCATATGTGCTGTGTTCGATTTTTCTAACCAGCGGCACACAGGAAGTATACCGTTTGTCTCGCTCACAGATGCAGTGAGTATTACACAACTATCTCATTCCTACCCAATGAATTTATTCGTATGTAGGGGTGAGTGATATTCTGACTGTCGAACTTGGCTCGATGCAATGAATCGACAGGTGTAAGTCGGAGTGTTTGATACTAGCATGACGGTGTTCACTAATGGGGGGTTTTCAGGCAATATTTTGGGCCACACAGGAAATGGTACAAATGTGGTCGTAGCTGCCATGTTAGGCGGTGAGTTACCCAGCTGCATTACCTCTATGATATCGACTCGACTGAAACAATAATGCAAGTCATCATGATTGCTCGCTTACATGCCATGTATCAGGGATCTAAAATGATGCTTATCTTCCTTGTTATCATCTTCCTGAGTGTTAACATTGTCTGCGGAACAATCGCGGCAATACAACTGAAGGATCTCGTACTAGGTAAGCTTTACTTGTTGACTTCAAGAACACAGCTCATTGGGTGAACACCAGAGGAGTTGATACTCTCTGGTATGCATATGTGTGGTTTACAATATGAGGGGGGTTCCCCGCTTCTGGACTCAACGGTTTGGATACTCACCACTTTTTGGGAGGTCCTCGCACTGTTCATTGCAGTCTGGATCGCTGTGAAACAATTCCGTGACATGCGACAACTTGGCTTATCGACAGGATCGTCCATCGGGGACTGTTTCAGAGTGCTGATACGATCTCACGTACTTTATTTTGCAAGGTGAGCTTGCCATGTGAATGTGGTTTCTTGTCTGCTCAAGTTCTGCATATGCTAGCTTTGCTATCGTCTCTTGCCTTCAGCTTGTTATCATCTCTCCGGAGGTCCAGGTGCGCCCGCCTATCATTGAGCGCTGGCAACCGTTGCTTATCATTTCTGTAGAATTCAAATGCTATTGCAGTTCAGATACTCGATGGCGCACTTCAAATTTTATTGGTTGTGCAGCTGTTTCTGCTGGGACCACGCCTCATCCTCAGCGTTCGAGAATACAACGCCAAACTTGTGGCCGACTCCGATGCAGAAACTAGCATGAATTCGATTGTTTTCCAGGAGCATGTACATGTATCGACTAGCAGTACTGTGTAGGGACAAGGGACATACTTGCCGAGTGTTCTGTAGGAAGGAGAAAATTGGTTGATGATCCGTCGTGGTATTTGTTTAACATATGGTATAGTTGAAAGGTCTAGGCAAAAATATTTATTGTTGTGTCACTACTGGAACGAAGTCGCTACTCACCTATGCTTGCACCAACTGGTAAGTTGAGATTATGCAGAACGTCTGGCAACCAACACGGTCGTTGATGCTAAATATTTAAATAATGAAATACAATGATGATCAGTGCAAGTGCCAAGACAGCTGAAGCGCTCATTAGTCAGATGCATTTACATCCATCCGGGCCATGGAGAAGTTAAAATGGGGAAAATGTGAAGGAATATCGAAGAGTACTATGATGTCTCGCACGTGGGCAGCCGCAACGACCAATAAGGAAAAAAAAAAACTTGTGGGTGCCGGTGACCGGCAATATTCCAGGTATATATCGACGCGAGCTTGGGGTGTATCAATGGCGGGAA